ATAATTTATCCATTTTTATATATAATTTATCTATTTTTAGTAATTATTTATGCACATTTTATGCTGTGTAATATGTGTACACAAAAATTTAATGTGCATATGTGCACATTGTGCACATGAATTTTACACACTGCTTTGAAACTCATTTTTGTACTAATTACTTTGTAATAAATAAACTGTTTTCACTGTTTTATGTAAATGAAAAAAAGACCAATTTTTTTTTTTAAAAATATTGTGATAAAAATAGCATATGACCAAAATTGATAATATATTTATGGGGACAGATGATTGCTCCTCTAATCTATCAAGAAACATTTCAGTTGCATAATGATATCTATCAAGAAGCATACCGACAATCAAGATTGATACTTTTGCCCCATTGAACATGTGTCTGACGGACGTAAGTCCGACGTTACACTCGGGTCTTATCGTATTCTTTAAACCAAAAATGTGGTATGTATCGACGATCCTCGAAATAAAAGAACCCTATGTAACCGAGGGCTGAATAAACTTCAAAATTTCCCACCACCAATTTTTCAAATTACCAAATTACCAGAACTTATCAGACAACTTGAGATCAAATATAGGAAATTAATTGCAAAGATGGCTTTAAATAATGATCCCGAAAATGTCTCAAAAGACTTAGAAACTAGCCTAACTCAAGTGTTACAAACCAACGAACGACGCCGCATTAAGGATTCTGGGCAAAGCAAAGAGAAAGCGAATGAAGAAAATCAATTGCTAATCTCCGATTTATTGAACGAATTAGACAGAAAGGATTTAGATGACTTAAGAAAATTACTAGCAGGACGGAAACCTAAAGATATCCTTGCTGAATTATACGTTCAAAGTTTTGATATTCGTAATTTAAATATTGATTTAGTAAAAAAAAAAGATGAATTGTCTAAGTTGAACTTTCAATTAAAATATTTGGAAGAAATAGTTGAAGAACGAGAAGAAGAGATAAAGGCCTTTAAAGAAGAAAAATCCAAAGTCCAAGAACCGGTTATTATTTATCAAGATACTGTTAATACACTTACTATTACTAATACAAATTTGGCTGATATATTAAACGTTCCAGGGGGATTACAAAGATTTCGAGAATTGAAAGAACTTCAATGTCATTATACTCAAATAACTGCCTTACCGACTTTACCTAACTTCTTAACGTCTCTCATATGCCATCACACCAAATTAACGAGTTTACCAACTTTACCCAACACCTTAATAGCACTTCATTGTAATAGTACTGAAATAACTATATTACCAACTTTACCCAATTGTTTAGAAACACTAAATTGCTCCAATACTAAGATCACTAGTTTACCAGTTTTACCTGATTTTTTAACAACGATTGATTGTTCTTATACTAAAATAATTGAATTACCAATTTTACCTAACTCCTTATCAACTCTTATATGTCATCATACTAGAATAACAAGTTTACCAACTTTTCCTAACACCTTAATAGCACTTCATTGTGATAATACCGAAATTACTAGCTTACCAGCTTTGCCTAATTTTTTAACAACTCTTGATTGCTCTAATACTAAGATAATTAGTTTACCAATTTTACCCAATTCCTTAAAAGTATTTGAATGTCATAATATTCAAATAAATGTTTTACCAATTTTACCAAATTCCTTAACAACACTTATATGTCATCATACTAGAATAACAAGTTTACCAACATTACCTAATACTTTAATAGCACTTCATTGTGATAATACTGAAATAACTAGCTTACCAGCTCTGCCTGATTTTTTAACAACTCTTGATTGCTCTAATACTAAGATAATTAGTTTGCCAATTTTACCCAACAACTTAATAGCACTTCATTGTAATAATACTGAAATATTAATATTACCAACTTTATCAAAATATTTAACAACTCTTGATTGTTGTAATACTAAGATAATTAATTTACCAATTTTACCTAATTTCCTATCAACTCTCATATGTCATCATACTAGAATAACAAGTTTACCAACTTTTCCTAACACCTTAATAGCACTTCATTGTGATAATACTGAAATTACTAGCTTACCAGCTTTGCCTAATTTTTTAACAACTCTTGATTGTTCTAATACTAAGATAATTAGTTTACCAATTTTACCCAATTCTTTAAAAGTATTAAAATGTCATAATATTCAAATAAATGTTTTACCAATTTTACCAAATTCTTTAACAACTCTTATATGTCATCATACTAGAATAACAAGTTTACCAACATTACCTAATACCTTAATAGCACTTCATTGTGATAATACTAAAATAATTAGCTTACCAGCTCTGCCTGATTTTTTAAAAACTTTTGATTGCTCATATACTAAGATAATTGGATTACCTGCTTTACCTAATTCCTTATCTTCTCTCATATGTCATCATACTAGAATAACAAGTCTACCAACTTTACCTAACACCTTAAATGCACTTCATTGTGATAATACTGAAATAATTAGCTTACCAGCTCTGCCTGATTTTTTAACAACTTTTGATTGCTCAAATACTAAGATAATTGAATTACCTTTCTTATCTAACTCCTTAACTTCTCTTAAATGTCATCATATTAGAATAACGAGTTTACCAACTTTACCTAATACCTTAATAGCACTTCATTGTGATAATACTGAAATAGTTAGTTTACCAGTATTGCCTGATTATTTAACAACTCTCGATTGTTCTAATACTAAGATAATTAGTTTACCAACTTTACCTAAGACTTTAAAAGACTTTCGTTTACCGTTTTAATATCTTTAACTTTTAAATTTTCTTATATACAAAAACTCTTTAATAATTATTTTAACTTATTTTTTAATGAAAAATGATGCATTAAGTAGTATATTTAAAAGAAATTTGTATTTTAATCAAATAGTAGTTTTTTATTTTATCATATCTTTAATAAAAATTTCAAATATATAAATAATGAAATAAATAAGTTATGTAATATTGAGCAATTTAGTTAGTATAAAACGGTATAAAGTAATATGTATAATTTTTAGGTATAACAGATAATTTTTAAGGATTCTTTAAACTTTATGCAATTATTTTATTTCATTTTACCAGATTTAGGAAATTTTATACAAATCAGCGCAGCTTTTGCATCAAAATAATCAATCATAAAAAGGAAATTAATTGAATAATACTTCTATTTGAAAATGCAATAACCGGGAAATTTTTATCGTTTCTTCTGTCGTTGCTGTCGTCAGCATTAAAATTTTTAAGTAATATTTATTTCTTTATTGCATTAATAAAATTAAGTTTCTATTTTATAAAATTTTCTTACCATTACAACTCAACACCTGATTTACACATTTAGTTACGAACATATTTAATCATATGATCAAAGCAAATCTGATTATTTTTCAAATATTGAAACTGTATTCGGGTAAGAAACTAGACTTAAATAATCTAACCACTTAATTATTCAATACCGGTATGGAAATCATACACAATGGATAGGAACCATCATTCCATACATAATAAACCACAAAATAATAAACATAACAACAATTTATAATTTATTCTTAAAGATAAATCTCCGGATATTAATTAATTTTTCTCATAAAGAAATAATAAATCGGTAGATATTAATATTGGTATTTATAAGGTTTAAAATATTAAAAAAGTTATCCATTTTAAATCAATGAGAAAAATAAATTATTCTTATAATTTGATGAATTAGAAAATTAACTAATGACAAAAAATATTAATGACCCACTAATGTTACAAGTACATTCTAAAAGAATTACTATAAATTGAAAATTCATTCAACATATACAACAGAACTTTAACGGTATTGTTAATTTAAATCATTTCATGATTGCAAATCTCGATTAATAATCACCAACTTAAATTTTAAATAATGATATTCGATTTATTTTGGCTATATTCGAACATTTCTAATATATAAGCCAAGTGAGATCTTGTGGGACTTAATTAAAATAGAGCTTCATTTATTAATAAATTTGATTTTCATAAAATAATTAAACAAAGTAACATGAAATGCGTAAATTAATTTTTTAATTCATCTAAAAAAGGGAAATAATTATTGCTTATAATCTTTCGCGTAAATTTCCAAAACTTAATTCCATTATCGAAACTTTAAGTTTATTTCCCATCAACTTTATTAAGTATTCATTTCCACTATGACACTAGTGTTCCATCGTACTTGAAAAAAAAATGTCGATTAATAAATTTGTGGAATTGATCAAGAAAAAATACGAAAACGCTTGAAAAATGTGCATTTATAATTTGTTAAAATGGTAGAACAATTATTCAATTTTTATATTTGCGTTTAATAAAATAACTAAAATAATTAAAATTTGCCAATAAAATTATAATCTAATTGAAATTTGGTTTAACATGAAATTATTTTTTTAAAAAAGGTGAACCCTGCGTTAAATTTTATAGAAATGGCAATAAAAATCTTGGCGAAATTTGGAAGCAGGTTTTTATTGTTGTTTCATTTCATTGATTACTACATTTTCATAATGCTTACTTATAAATACAAGTATCTCGAATTGTGAATGTAAACCAAACCCGCTATATATATATTTTATACTACTAGTGCTCATTTTTTCAATTTTATTTTGCTATGAACTAATAATTGATATTGAAATAAAAAGTACTAACAAAGAATTCAATTGAGTGATTCAATTGAATTGAACATGCAAAAAACGAACGTTATGAAAATTGTTTTCGTATAATTTATTATCAAGAATATATTTTGTAAATTGTACAATTCAATTTTGCTTTTTAGATATTGCTATACTTCTATGTGAAGTTGTTTTCCTTTATAAAATTAAATCAATGTATGGATTTTAAGGATTATATTTGTTTAGTTAAGAAATTTCACTAGGTCGTAGAAAATATCATTCCAGATATGTAATACATACATATAGCTAAATATAATAATTCTAGCTTTATTTCCATTTTTTTTTTTTTTTTTTTTTTTTTTTAATAATGTTAGAATTTATGCAAAAGCCACATTAGCATAAAATTCCGTGATAAATTTTCAAAGGAATATATTATACCATATTCAAGTAGTGTTTCCGTTTGAAAATAGAATATTCGAATATTTGTTTGCAAGTAAATATACCTAATTCAAATATTCGAATTATATAATTAGTATTCAAATATTCAAATATCAAAAATCAAAAATTAATAATACCTGAAATCGAAAATTGAAAAAATTACAAAAAAACTAATCAATCAAAATGAAATTAAATTGAATTCGATTTCGATTTTTGAATTGATATCGATATTTTGAAATGAATTTTGATTTCCGAAATGATTTCGGGTGTTACAAAAACATGTACCGTATGGTTGGCTAAGTATGTATTGTATGGTTAGCTTTTTTGTATGTATGGCATACATTTTTAGTAACCATACATGTATAGAATAAATTACAATGGAAAAATAAGATAAACAGATCGATCAAATATTAAAATTTTATTTTTCAAACTACTTCTCCCTTCTCAATTTACCTTTAACGTCCAGTTTATACAAGAAACCTAGTGTCCCTAAAAAAAAAAAAAATAAGAAACAAAATATTAAAAAATTTTTCTTAAATTCCAACTAAATAAAAACAAAAAAAAAATCATTGTAAAGAAAAAAAGCGAATTAACTTTATTATAAATAAATCATCACCTGAGTTATGTGACAAATGTTAAAAATGTATGTATGCCATATCATACATGCGAAAAAATCAACCCTACAATACATTTTTAGCCAATCGTACAATACACGGTTACTATATTCCCATGATTTCAATATTCATTTGAATTTTATTTAAATATTTGAAATGCTATTTGAATTTCAAACGGAAAAACGGGCAACTTGTCACACTAAGTCAGAGGTATTGAAATGTGAAGTTTGGATAATATTTTTTAATTTTGTCTCGTAACTTGATTAACAAAGCAAAAGGTTTAGAAATTCTTCTAGAATTATGTAAAATATGATGGTTAGGTATAATTATAGGTAGGAACGGACAAACTGTATACCAATCATGAGATTGTGTATGGATAGATGGACATTGCATAGGCTTGAGTCTCCGTTATGCTTCAAACAATAAAACTAAGATGTATATTTAGAATTGATAAATTAACTTTAGCAATAATTGTAGATTAAAATGAAATTTGAAGTTTATTAAATAGTAACTCAATATGCTGATATGTTCGACAAAAGAAGATAAATATGGCATACATAATTTTAAAAATTAATCATTTTGAAAATTGTAATTTGGCCGAACGCCATAATTCAAGTAAACTCCGGCCGGAATTATACGTTAAATAAAATTAATACATTCCATTTCTGTAAACTTGAGATTTAAATTAATTTAAATTTAATACTAGAGTTTGTTAGGCATTGTTAGTAGAATTTTTTATATTGAAACGATTTTATCACAGGACCCCTCCAACCAAGAATGAGATTTTTTTTGATTCATATTATTTTGATATAGATGAACTTTATTTGATTAAATTTTTATAGTCTATTACAAAGCAAGAAATTAGGCTGGCAACATTTCTCACTCTTGTGTAACGTCAAAAATCAAAATTTGAAAATTAATCATACATTTATTGTTACTGTTTGTTAAAATATCGTCATCAAAATTTGCGATTTCATTACAAAATATTATCGAAGTATGAATATTTACAATTGAATATTCAAAATTTCATTATAAAATTTAGTTATTCAT